CTAAAAGATGAAGTGCAGCCACAGAGTATGAACATCCTGGCAGCCCTTTTCCTCTTGTCTGAGCAGGTGGATATTCCTATTGCTATAGAAGAAAAGAAAAAAGAGAAAAAACTTGTTCTGACAAGTACAGATGGAAAAACTACATACATTAACCAGAGCCTGCGCATATTTACAAAAGACCAAACGAAGTCTAAAACCGATTGGAAGAGGTGGTGCAAGAATATAAAAAGCCTCATTGAATTCCTTAAAAAGTATATAGACAACAAAGGGGTGAATCCAAGTGCAATGGAAGGACTGCCTACTGTGCCAACCAACTATGAGCAGTTCATGACAGGAGAATTTTTGAACACATCCGAGTTCCTTATTCAGTCGTACATATACGAGTTTATTGACACAAAAGAAAATTACATTAAATTTGTAGAGGCTGTATATACTCTTTTGAATGACCAGATAAAAAATGAAAAGTCATACGAAAGAGTGCTGAACAAGTGCTTTATACAAGAAAGTGCACGGAAAAGTAAAATCGACCACACTAAGATTATTTGCGATCTTATGGATACAATAGACAAGTATAGAATATTTCCATTCATGGATTCATCACAGCTTCCGTCCTATACACAGGTTAAAGCATATGATCGGGAAAAGAACGAATTCATAAACGACGAAACCCGAAAATATTCTAACTGTGTAGAAGCAGCTTTGCTAGGACTAGTGTGCTGTTTAGTATATGATCCAAATAAAAAGAAGTACAATACAGACCATCTACCCGACAATGAAGAAACTAAGCCACTGAAAGAATTCTTTAAAAAGTACACTGAGCCAAGAGAAACCACTGATTATGAAATGCACCAAGATTGGTGTAGAGTGATAGCAGACTTGAAGAATGACAAGATTCTTTACTTAGAGGAGAAGACGAATGAGCTGGACAGCAGTTTGTTGAATATTCTTTATGTTGTATCGGACATAACTGGAAGCAAAGAAGAAGTGGTTAAACAAATTAAGCACATAGAAGAACTTCTTGCTGATAAGAAGGTTGATGTTTGGCTTGATATAGAAGAAAGCTTGACTACAATATTCAAGGAGCTATCAAATAACAAGAATCTTGATGTAGAGTGTGACGAATTCACAGTAGGTACACGAGAAGATGATAAGCTGGACTTATTTGGTGAGTTTAAGCTAGTGTATACTTTTAATGAGAAAAAAAATGGAATATTAGTGGAGATAACTCCTGGTCATTCCTCATTAAGATTATTGGAAGACCTATTGTCTAGTGAAGAGAAAAATATTATTAAAGAAAAGCTGACTGAAATACAGAATACTTATAGTAATATAGAGAATTACACAGCATACACAATTAGACAGTACATAAACATAGAACTTGCTAAGATGGAGCAAAAATCTGTATTTAGCCGGATTAAAGAAAGTATTAAAAATAACCATGATAATATAAATGATATTTTCCTTCATGGGATGATTCGATCTGTTGAACAAAAAGCAAGG